AACCCGGGGTTCATTAAACCCGACGGTGGAGCACGGTGGACCTCCGTGGGAGGGCCTCGCATCACCCACTCGGAAAGTCATCCTCGCGTGGCCGTCAGCTGACGGAGCAGCGGACGGACGGACGGACGGACGGATGGACGGACGGACGGACGGACGCACGCAGGAACGCACACTTGACTGCTCCGAACGCCCAGGACTCTCTGGGATCTCGCAGCAGGAAATTACAGTGGACGCGCCCACGAGGGGAAGGGAAAGGATTCGAATTAATCCCGCCGTGTGTCAATTTAGGCGGGGAACAGGAGCGAAATGTCGCAGGGAGAGAGACGCGTTTCGCCAATCGATAGGAAGTATACGCTTGTTTACCGGCCTCAATGCGCGCGAGATGGAAAGCCGTGGGCGTAACTCCGATGACGCGCCCGAAGCTCTGACGAGCTGGTCTCAATAAAGATCGTGTCGAAAGCTCTCGCTTTCGCGGCTCTCCGCTTTCGGATCGAGTTTCCGACGTCCTGCGTCGCCCCGCCTCGCGTATTCGCGTCGCGGTCGAACGCGCGTTTCTCGCCTTATCCCTGATATCTGTTTCGAGAAATATTTCCGATGCTCTCTCTCTCTCTCCCTTCCTCCCTTCACCTTTATTTTCTTCTGATTTTATTATTATTTTTATAGAGTACCGTTAATGTGGGCGAAAGCTCACGGCGCTGTTGCGACACTCCCCGATTGAGATGCAGTGTGGAAAGATCGCGAGATAAATAAATAAATAAATAAATACACATTTCTTTTCTATTTCTATCAAGCCTCAAAAGAGGCGAATCTCCCCTTTTTTAATAACGATTTTAATAACGCCATTTAATAATAAATGCCAATGGACGAAAGCTCACGGTACCGTTGCGATATTCCATAATCCTGCGAGTCACGAAATGTTAACGAACAGGACTCGCAAGTCGATTATCGGATTAGCGAGCTGGGACGATCGCGGTGATTATCGTGCGACTTTCGGGAACTTATGCCGGCTTATTGGGAGAGATGTACAGCAATGCGCAACATTCGCCTCTTTCCTTCTCCGTCAAATCACTTATTAAACAATACGCCGTAATATATTATGTTTCATTTTCGCCTCCAGCCGCTCATTCGGCAGGTGTACCGCAATATGCGACGTATTTTCTCTTCCGATATCATTGACGAGCCGCTCGTTAGAGAGAGATTAGGGCCAACCGTGATAACGAATCGAATGAGTCTGCGGACGAACGGGCGTTCCATGTGAGAAAACTTTTTCCGTCTCGACTTTTGATCGGCCCCGAGAGAAAGTCTCCTCCTCGTTGTAGATCCCTTACGCGAAAGTTTGCGGCGAGAACGAGGACATAGTCCTCGTGAGTATGCAGACCTCTCGGCGATTAATCGGCCAGAAAACGCAGTTACTCGGAATGACTCTGCTATTATTGGAGCCGATCCAAACTGGTCGGGCTATTAATACTTTCTCACTTGAAAATACCGACTTCCTCACGCACACGCCGAGTACCGTCCGAGCGTGACGGGGAGAAAAACGGACTTGCCGACAGGAGGTTCGGACTTTGAAAAAGTATCGCGTTTCAGGCCGCCGCAGCTTCGCGTGATCCGCAACGGACAGCTTAATCCGCGCCGAGCGGATCGCCGCGGACTTTCGATCGATGAGCTGGCGCGACTTATCGACGATAAGATACACCGGGGTATGCAGGAAATGCATCACCCTTATCTACCTTCGGCATGTAGAAAACAAAAAGCAGGAAACGCGCTCGATACAGTGCGTCGTGCGAGTATATCTGCCCGATCCTCGTCCTCTTCGGGGCGATTTCGGAAGCGAAGCGAGCGACGAATATCTCTCTCGAAGAGGCGTCTCCGCGCGGAGAGAATATTGTAGCTTCTTTCTGCGTAAATTCTCTTCGATTTTATTACAAATAGCGCGTAAGAATAGATCGTCGTTAGTTCATCTTGGCAACGAGTGCGGTCAATTTGACGTCGACGGTACACTTCAGTCCCTGAGGCGTAAGCGAAGGGTGACGAACTAAGGATGTCGACGTAAGAATGTATTCCTCTCTCAGGATCCCTCATACAGGATTTTGCAGTAATTCTCACCGGAAAATTCTCCTCGTGTGTCGGGATTAAAGCGACGGGCAAGAAGAGGGCGCTCGTAAGATCGCTTTCGCCTTCGTAACGCGTAAAGTCGTCTTCGAAGGGACGAGGACGAGTTACTCTCCCTCCGCACTCGCTGTCTCTCCTGCGCTCGAGGAATCGCGCTGGAGGACAATAAGCAAATTCCTCGCCGCCGAGCGGTGGGCAATCGAATTCGCGCGGCGATCGCGCGCTCGCAATTAAGCGCTAACGCGCCGACAGAGCGAGCGATCGCTCTCTCGGCGCGTCGCGGAGAATCCCGGCGCGCACAGGCCGTGTGTAAACCCTGCGCGTATTAAAAAGCAGGCCTCGGCGAGCACTCGTTTCCGAAAATAACCGGGAAATATTAATAGACGCGTTAGATCCAGGGTAGCGCGGACGGAGAAAGGGGGGAACGCGTGCGAAGGAGAGGGCCGCGCGATATTTTGGAGCGCCATGATCACATCCTATAGTTGTTATGCGCCGCGTCGCGCACTAAATTCGGTTGCAAGCGGGATATAAGAAAGCCATATCGTCCTTCTCTCTCTCTCTCTCTCTCTCTCTCTCTCTCTCTCTCTCTCTCTCTCTCTCTCTTTCCCTCTCCCTCTCTCTCTCTCTCTCTCTCTCTCTCTCTCTCTCTCTCTCCGCCTTTCCCTCCCGCTACTGGGCGACGGGGTGCAAACTCCGCCTCCCCCTTGTCCCCGCCTCAGTCCTATCAATTAACGTCGGAGGTAATCGCGCGAGACGCGAGCGTCTACCGTCTCTCGGAGATCACTCCGGCATAGGACATTTTCCAGGATCGAATTAGGATCAGGACTGCCGGAGTTCAGGCCCCGCGTGGGAAATATCCTGGGGTTTAAACGTGATCCACGATTTGATTTTGCAGAAAGATGATGGGTCGTGATCGAAAAATCTGCGATTCCCGGCGGAAAACCTGAAGCTTATCCAGTAAATTATCCTCGTCTTCGTTTTACACTCGGATTTAATTTTCTTAAGTTTTTTACTCCGTTGAATACAACAATTGATATAAAAATGGGACTCCCCGTTTGATACCATGAAAGTAAGCCATAACGACTGAAGAAAAGCAAAGTCCAATAACATTTTCATCTCGATTCGAGACAGAGAATTGATGTTTGATTTCGCAGATAGACGATCAGCGCTGTGATTGAAAAACCTGCGATTCCCGGCGGAAAATCTAAAGTTTGCCCAATAAATTTTCTCGTCTTCGTTTTACACTTGGATTTAATTTTCTTCAGTTTTTTACTCTATTGAATACAACGATTGATATAAAAATGGGACTCCCCGTTTGATACCACGAAAGTAAGCCATAACGACTGAAGAAAAGCAAAGTCCAATAGCATTTTCATCTCGATTCGAGACAGAGAATTGATGTTTGATTTCGCAGAAAGACGATCAGCGCTGTGATTGAAAAACCTGCGATTCCCGGCGGAAAATCTAAAGTTTGCCCAATAAATTTTCTCGTCTTCGTTTTACACTTGGATTTAATTTTCTTCAGTTTTTTACTCTGTTAAATACAACGATTGGTGTAACAATTCGGGATTCCCCGTTTGATACCATGAAAGTAAGCCATAACGACTGAAAAAAAAGCGAAATCCAGTAGCATTTTCATCTCGATTCGAGACAGAAAGTCCATATTTGGGGTATAGAAAAGGACTCCCGACTGCTATCGTGAGAGGACGAGAGTGATTTTACCGCAAATTTCAACATTTTCCTCGGACCCTGCGCTGTGCCTGGAAAAATATCGCGAAATTTCCACACGAGACATTCTCAACGTGCGATCTATCAGCGGCCTATCAGTTCGACATCGCAGCATCTCCCGACCAATAATCGGGAGGCTCGCTTTCTATTTTCCGACTCGCTACCGCACAAGCCTTGGCTTTCTATTTTCCTTCTTGAGTGGCCAAAATCGCGCTCGTGACCGAGTCGTTTTAGCTGGAAATCGAGAGAGCTCATATCTTCTCGGATTTCCTCTCTTAATCCACACTCGAGCGGGCAAACAAATGCAGCGGCAGGCCTCGCAAGAGTCGAACGCCAAGAGTTGTTTGCGCGAATGCGCGCTCTTATGCAGGTCTTCGATCCGATCGCCCTGGTTTATTCGTGCATCTCGCAGCCTTCGGTGAATCGCTCGCGATCGACCGACTTATGTATATCGCAAAGAGAGAACTCAGCGCACCGTCGCCCTCTCGATGCGCCGTGGCGCCGGGGTTAATTTATGCGAGGACGTCGCTAATAAAACGCGGAGTAACCGATCCGTTCTTGGCGCGTCGTCAGTTGCTCCCCTCCTCCGCGGAGAGGGAGCGGGAGAGAGGAGGGAGGGAAGAGAGAGAGAAACTTGTGCACTGGGTGTTATCCGAATGATCGCGGTGTCAAGTTCGCGTCTCTCTCTCTCTCTCTCTCTCTCTCTCTCTCTCTCTCTCTCTCTCTCTCTCTCTCTCTGTCTCTCTGTCTCTCCCTCCCCCCTCTCTCTCTCTCTTTCGGCACATTGTTCCTGCGAGCAGACGGACGAATTTCACTTCCAGAGGGGCACGCTGACACGCTGCGCTATTCTATTTTCGAGTCGGCGGGCTCCACCGACGCAGAGCGCAAGGCAGCGGCGAGGAAAAGGGCGGACAAGAAGAAAGGGTAGAGAAAGAAGCAGGCGAACAAGAAGTAGCCGAAATATTGCCGAGGACCCGCGACCGAAATAAACTTCGTGCCGAGGAAACTTATTTCCTGGCGACACCGCCGCGACTTCTTGCAACCCCGCGGAGCGTGCGCGTGAGAGAAAGAAAGAGAGAGAGAGAGAGAGAGAGAGAGAGAGAAAAAGAGAGAAAGAGAGAGAGAGAGAGAAAGAGAGCAAATACTTGTGCAAAACTCACCGGCGTAAGGGCCCGAGGGTGAACTGTTATCCTTGTTGCCTTTGCCTTCCTTGTTGCCGCTTCCTGCAACAGCAAGCAACGAAGCACGCAATGACGACCACCGTGTGAAATTGTACACGTACGAAAGAATGTGCATATAGATATCGAGAGAGAGAGAGAGAGAGAGGGGGGGAGGGAGAGATAGAGATAGATAGAGAGAGAGAGAGAGAGAGAGAGAGAGAGAAAGAGACAGAATGTACACAACGAGAGAGAAAGGAGACACTGGATATGTTAAAGATGTACTCTCGGTAAATACGCAAAATCGCCAAGCACAGCTACGTACATGATCGGAGGTGGAGTTTTACCAAGTCCCATTAGTTAAGTGTCTGAGACATCAGTCAAGTGGCTAGGAGGGTCTATGAATGACTACGTCAAAGTTCAACTAATTACGGGGCCGGGGAGGGGGGAGGTATACGGCGAAATGCATGAGAGTGTGCCAAGATGCATCCACGAGACACGGCAAAACGAGCAGAGCGAGGCGAGGGGGAGTCATGCAAAACAGTCGCATTCGCGTGGCAAACGGTGGCGGCCGAAAACCCTTCGCCGGTCGTTTGTTCCTTGCGATTGGGACGTGGCTTCCTCACGGATCGGCAATAGAGCGTCGTCATTGATGGGACGCGACGTCGTCGTGGGTAAAAGAGCGCCGCGCGGACGCGTAATAACGTAATAATGCGCATGTCGACGAGCGCAGATTCTGCGAGGGTCGGACAAATCGACCGACAGATAAGGAGTAATAACGCATTAGGCCAATTACGCGGAATAGAACGGTCACATTATCCGCGACGGGCTGTCGGCGTGGCGTCCCTGGCTTTCGCCGCGGCGAGGCTGATTTCGAGACGTGACGGATGCGCTGACCGAAGGAAGACAGCTGAGAGACAACAGCGGCTTTTTCGTGTCGTAGAATGCAGAGATTCCGGGCTAAATGTCAAGTGTTGCAGAATTTATATGTGCGTATATATATGCGTGATAATTTGTGATAGAGAAATATATAAGCAACCCTCCCCCCTGCGCGAGACGTAAATACATATTGACGTCGTATCACCGCGATAATTGTGTGTTTTTGCTATTTTTACATGTGGTTAACATTTACGTGCGTCCAGGTCTCAATATAATAATTTTATTGTATCAACTAACCGTGTAAGCTTTGCAATCGTATTGTGTGTGCGCGCGCGCGCGCGCGTTATATTACTATCGTATATTTCGGGGTAAATGTCGAGCAGGATGTTAGACGATACGTATAGCGTAAATTTTACTTAGTAAAATTTACCTACACTTTATTCATAAAAATCACCGGAAGATTGTGAAACGATGAGAAATTGTGAAGATATGAGAAACACCGCGATGAAATTTTCGGGAATTTTTAAATATAATTTATATTTACGTCTAAATCTCTTGGATATAATAATGTTGCGTTGACCGCATGATACATCGTATGTTTATGCAAACGATATATGAAATACATAAGCCAAATACATGAATTAGATAGAAACATCGAGTATACTGTGCACAGCACATATTATCAATTAAAATATTTACACGACACACAGCACGGATATAATAATAATAATAATAATAATAATAATAATAATAATAATATTATATATGCAACAGGAAGAGGGAGAAAATGTTTCTCCGCGGCATTAGCGGGCCAGATGACACAGGGGATCGATTATGAGGAAGCCAAAAGCCGTCAAACGACGCGATCAATAGACAGGGTTCTTTTCCACTAGCTGATAAATCGCAGGAGCCGTCGTGCAAAGTCGGTCAGTCGGAAATGAAATCCTGGGGCGGGGGGAGGGGGCAGGGGAGCTCACTTCCGTGTCGTCGTCGTCGTCGTCGTCTTATGTCGCTCGGCGATCGATCTTAGGCTTGTCTCTGGACTTCTTCGTCGTAATCTCTCTTGACTTTCAGCGTACATCGTGACTCACACAGTGAGTCCTCCTCGGAGATACGGCCCGCGTCTTCGGGAAACAGCCCGCGCACCGTTCGTCATGATTCGACGAGTCACCGACGTTGGCGACGATAGCATCGCGCGTTATCTCCCACAATTCATCGCGGTGCATTATTTCGAACGCGCTATCGGCAGTTTCGTAATTACGCTCGTGATAATTGCCAAGAGATGCTCCGCAGCGTCCACGCTTTCTCGTCGCCTCTCCCGCCGCTCTCCGGCGCGGAGAGCGCGCTTTCTCGTTCCATTGATTTTACGTGCAAACACGGCGTATTTCGCGAATGCAACGAGGACGCCACGTTCTCCCTTTTCGCGCGAGCTCTTCGGCTGACGTCGGACGGCCGAGGCTGAAGGTGGCGGCCCATGAGGCAGAGCAGATGAAGACGACGCGGGTTCTAGAAGCAGAGGGCGAGGGGCGCCGAGGTGTCGGAAGAGATAGGAGGAAAAAGAGCAACAGCCCATACCTGAGGGACACGAACTGGTCGTGAAACGGATTGCCGTTCGCGGAGAATGCCAGCCGGAGCCGTACGCGTCGATCCGTCCTTAACGAGTCCCAACCTGCACGAGAGCGTGACCTCTTCAGGTTTCGCGAGTCCGCGCGCCACCGACCTGTCGCCTGACATTTACCGAAGCACCGGCTGAGGAGCACGTGAGCGTTCGGGAAAAATTAGGGACGGTATCGCGTAAAACGCGAATTTCTATGCGAGCCGGTACGCAATCTCTTTCTTTTCCTCCCAGCGGGAGTCTGTAATTAAGTACCCGCGTAGAAAATGTCCTGGGGTCTGAATTTGGGGGATTTAATTTCCCGAAGCGTACGCATATTCAAGTTAGAAGTGTAGTGTTTCTCAAACACGCGCGACTCTCTCAGCAGAAACGTTAAGTTTTCACGAGAGAAAGAAGTTTTTTGTGAGAAAAAGCAATGCTCCTTTATGTAATATTAGTTTCGGGATCTTAACGTTTGGAGCCTCCTCAGCTGTGATTAACAAACTAATTAAAAAATTAAAAGTTGCCACAACGCCTCTCAATTTTATCTTATTCATTGGTTAATCATGGCGAGTCAAGAGAGTCAACAAACATCAGGACTGAAATAATTTTGTAAAATTGTGTAAAATGTTGTTTTCTCTTTCGTATAACTTTTTCCATAAAAGTATACCGATATTACTGAATAAAGAAAGGAAAAAGAAAGTTTCAGTCGTTTTGATTCTCTTATTTGGGCTGAGAATTTGAGAATTCTACGTCGGGAAAATCCTGGGAAACTTTTTTCCATGCGAGCAATTGATATTAATTCATCCGAATATACTCACTCATAGAAAATTCCTGGACATCTAATTAACATCTAGTCCGGTTTGCCGAAATGCGCAGATAGATATTCCGGTTAGAAATATAATATTCCACACACGCTAAATGGAAAAAATCAAAGCTACCCAATATTTACCTCGTTTCCATTTTACGATTTCAGAGAGTTTTATCTCTCTCCTGCATTTTTATTCCGCCGCAACGCCACAGGCGCGCGCTTCTGATTGCATAACATTACGCTACGTATCGCAAACCGTCGAAACACGCGGCACTCCGCGAATCAGCCAACCGCGAGCTGTCAAAATCGTTGACACCGTAAGATTGTATCGACGTCACCGAGTATAAACAAAACGCGCGGTCCCACGGTACTTCCACGTCGATTTCGACCGCGAATCCATGTGTCTGCGACAAGAATAGCAGCCCGATTGGTCAGATACCCAATTTTGGATCGTAATCCACGTATTCGGCAAAGCAGGGAGGCGTTTCTGTGCGCAGAAATGCGATTTACCGGCATTTGTGGGACATCAGGACCTTCTCACGTCTGAAGATTAGAAGCGAAACGTACATGAATCCGACATGACACTCAAGGCTGTGGCGGCCGCAAAGCTCAGTCTGGGTGTCAGCGATGGCACGCGTTACGTGACACGAGGACGCAAGCAGATAAGTCCGCAATTAGCTCGAATTCAATCAACCCCGCGTCACCGATAAGGGACGGACGTTTTTGCGACGCGCGCTCTTCGAATTGGCGACCTTTCCTTCCTCCCCTCTCCCCCCCCCCTAACGAAGTTACGCGCTCGTACGAGCCGTGACACAGAATCAGCCGAATTCGTTCCATCGATTTTTCCTCTGGCGAGCACCCAAAGAAGCGGCTGATTAGCGCTGCGCGCGACGCTGAATTTTAATTGGCGCTTGGTCAGCGGGTCCCTCGTCTCTCCCTCCCTCTCTCTCTCTCTCTCTCTCTCTCGCACGCGCAAGTCTCACTGCGTCTTGACGATACCGCATATGCAATGTTTATCCTTTTTCCTTTCAGGAAGTACTTGATATCACGAGGTGAAATTCCTTGCGTTCAGCCTCGCGCTCTTCCATCGAAAACGGGGCTGTCGACATCCCGGAATTTCGGCCGATTCGCCTGAGAGAAAAGAACGATAACCGAAGGATGGGGCGAGAGAATCCGGCAGCTCGGTGGCTCGTTTGGCGGAAATTTGTGCGGACTTGGGAACCCGGCCGCGTCGCGCTCTACCTGTTTTTCCTTCGCCGAAGTGCATTGTGCACGCGGCCAGACACACGATTGGCCGAGCGTGACGAGATAGCTCGCCAGCAACTTGTTGGAGGAGCGGCATCAGCTGCAATTTCGCAAGGCTACCGCGCCGAGGGTTGGAGATAGTGAGAGTGGTCGAGGACAATGACGCGCGTGTGCCTCCGACGTTGCTTGTCCGGGGGAGCGGTGGTGGAGATTGCGCTGGCGATAGTGGTAGTGGTGGTGGTGATGGTGATGGTGGTGGCGGAGGTGGTGGTGGTGGTGGTGGTGGTGGTGGTGGTGGTAGTGGTTGTTCACCCTCTGAATAAATCAATAAGTCCCCGGCCCAACGCCCGATGCACGCTCTTCGGCGGAGCGCACTCGGAATACAAATTTCGAGCGGCGAGCAGCGATGAAAAAATATCACGCCGCTCTATCTATATTTCTTCCTACCTTCTCTTTCCTTTTCTCTGTCTCTTTTTCTTTTAATAAGCCCCTGCGCGCGCGCGCGCGCGCGCGAGACGTGTCAGCTGTCGCGGCGGA